CGCGCCGCAATCCCCTCCCTCGCCGCCTCCTCGCCCCTTGCCAGCAGAAATCCGCTACGTCTCGAGTGGTCGCTCCGAGGGAGAAGCCGCAAGGAGCCCATCAGCTCCGCAGGGGTTGCGCGGGACCTTCCGGCACCCGCTGGTGCGCAGGGAGGTGTTTGTAGGGCCGAGGCTCCCCCCTGCCCCACGAAACCCACGGCCTCCCCTCCGCTACCGGTGGGTGAGGAGAGCCGCAATCGCCTCCCCCGCCGCAGCTGGAGCGGGAGACCAGCCTCCCTCTTTGCCGCGGGGGCAGCATGAAGAAGATCCTTAGCGCTGACGGTACGGGAACGGCGCCTTTCCCTGCCCGGGCTGGGGCCCTGCCCTCCCCCCGCCGTCCCTCAGGGCCTCGGGGACACGGAGCTCCCTTGAAGCCCCGGCGGGCTCTGCATGAAGTTACATCCACATGAGTTACACCCGCATGAGTTATACCTGAAAGACCCTCAAGCTCGAGACTGAGGGGCCTGAGAGGGTGGAAACCCTAAAATCTGGTGATATTTTTGGTTTATACTGCGTAGGTCCTATGCGCCAGTCATAGTGGATATGGAAATGAAAATAGAACTACCATTGGTGTGTTCCAGCCTCCAAGAGGTGCATACCTACACCCCAAATCTGGCTCCGTTAAAATACATGCAATGGACTTCCCAGAATCGTGATTTAAAAGTGCCCTATGGTGTCTGAGTATAATAGTAAGGAATTTGCCATTCAGCAGATATATCTAGGGTGTAATGAAAGCATTCTTGTCTTCCTCCATCAGATTAATAGTTTTACTCCATCTAAGCCAGTGACCCCCAGGCCACAGCCCCCTCTTAATGTTCTTTTATTACCTTTTTGCTGCTCCCCACGAGGCAAAGGGATGGTCAGTGCCTGAAAAGACAACAGGGCTCAGGAGATAGGATAGTCTAAAGCATTTAATTACTCCTCCCTTCCCTGCTCCACGGTTATTATCTACCATCTAACATAGATAAGACAGAGGTGAAATTTATCAAAAGGGTAAAAATCTTAGGGGCAAATAAAATTATAAAGCTGTAAAATAAGAGGGAAAGGCAAACTGTGCACTGTAATACTAAAAATGTGCTAGTAAATGCAATAGTGGAGTCCAATTCTATCGCCACAAGGCTTGCATTTCTGATTTCCATTCTGCTTCCTCTCTCAAAGGTTGTGTGTTTTATCAAGGAATTGTTTTCCTTTGTTGTCACAGAGACAATCAGGCTACCAAGCAACTGCTGCACTCATCTATATCTCCAGATATTCATTACATTGTGTTTGGATAAAAATTAATTAAGAAACTTTTTTTGTTATTGTTAAAAGTTGGGTTTTTAAGTGCACATGAAGAAGATAATTACATTAGACTTTATTTCTAAACTATAAAGCACCATAGCAAAACAGACTCTTTTACAGGAGCGGGATCATCTCAGCTCTTATTTGTCTCAACTCTTTGTTTGGATTTTGTCAGACTCAAGCTGTGCTAAATCTGTTACCTGCTAAAGCTACTGACAGTGTTGCAAAGCACCAAACAAAACCAGTCTGCTGCCTTCTGGGAGCTTAACAGCCTTGATAGGCGATTTCTTTGTTTTTAAGCCACTTATACAGCACTGACAGAAGATAAAAATGTAGATGACATCCCCAGAATATAATCAAATCCTTACAGTATGAAACCGATTGTTGTTACAAAGATAATATGAACTAGAAAGCAGTCATTAGGTGGTAATAGTATTTAGCCATTCTACAAATGTGCTAGTGGCCCGTGTTCTGTAGTACAGGATTTGCAGGTAGATGGGTGTTTGCAACAGTTGTCTCCCACATTAATCAAAAAGTGGATTGAGTGTGAATGTAAAAGATGCAGCTGATTTCAGTTGTTGCTAGACTGCCTTTTGAACTCTCTCATGATTGAATCTACTGAAGAAAGAATTCACTACTCAAAAAAATGGACTCATAAAATGCGAGCTAATTGTAGAATTGCCTTTAGGACCAAGAAATAGATGAGAACTGACAAGGCACAGGAAACAAATTATTAGGCATATACTGGAAGTATAGAGAATGACATTTTACTTTAGAACTCTGAAAAGTATTTGTTAGAGAAAGTGCCCATTTGAGGGTTTCAAAATAGAAGTTCACCTCTGAATTATGAAAACTTAGAACACTGTAGAGTTTGGCATGAGAGATCCAAGTTAGGACACCATCACAAGGCTAGACAATGCTTCTGAAATGTTTGCAAGTGAGGGGAAGCAAACCTCAGCAAAATCATCCAGATAGATATTTTTGTCCATTTTGGTAAGGTTCGTATTTTATAAATAACTTTTTCCATTTTACTGTGGAAGCAAAATGTAAGTCTTTATTTCTTCTCTTGTTACAGATTTCATAAATTATATGGCTCTTCCCTGATGCTCCATAAATGGCCACTGGTAAGTTGCGTTTATACAGGACTGTGTATTCTCTAAGTGCTAGCAGACAAAAAAACAGCTAAAAAAGATTTAGTTTCCCCTAGGGTTTTATCTGATGCTAATTTAATCAAGTTAAGATCTTATCTAATTAGCTAATGAGAACAAAGTCAGACTGAGTTAGGTTTAGTCTGTGAGTTTTTCCCTATCTGCTTTTTTGTGTCTGATTAATATTTCCACTTAGATATATCTTAGAAAATGTAATTCAACTCAAAAAGCTTGAAGAAGGAACTGATTAAATACCTGTAAACAAACCAAATTGAAATAACATCAGATTACAGGAAACCAAATCTGTATGATATTCATTAAATGGTTTTAGAACATGACAAAAACAGGGTAAAAATTGCTATTAAATCTAAGTGAATTTGGAACCTTATACATCAGCTTTGTACTTGTTCACAAGTTCATTCTGGTGAGTTTAAGCATACCCTTACAGCATAAGTCCCCCAAGAATGTGTTGCTCATGCACTTAATTCATGGAAGAATGAGTGTGCACTGAGCTCCTTAAGGGTCAGCACTGAAGGGATGCTGTGTAAATGTAAGTAGTACTCATCATACAATTGGAACTTAGGATGGAAATATTGCTTCCAGCCATGTATTTGATGGTTTATGCTGGTTCTTTTTAAAATTCTACCATACAGAATGACTCCTGGAACCACTTTGATGTTTGTTTTGAAATGTACATTCTGTGGATGCAGGAGTTATTCACAGGGGTCATGAAATTGTCCAGGACAGTAAATCTGGGAGTTCAGCCAGATCGCAGCAAATTACAATTTTTATAAGTACTTAAAAGCAGAGATTATTTTTTGGTAATTTTTCAACCTTAATCAATTCAACAACAAACACAGTATCAACTATGCATTTCAGGAAACAGAGTCAGTTCAAAAATAAGTGTAAGTGACTTTGTTTATAAAAACAAATTCACTTATACTTTGCCCTTGCTTTTTACTTTCATCATTCCATCGTAGAAATTTCTGTGCTAGGTGGTTTAAGTAAGTGTGATTTACATATGAGAGTGACTGCAAGCACCAAAGTGCCATGCAATTAGAAAATTTAGGTTTCTATATATACCTTCCCCTGCTCCTAGCTGCATGTGTCCTCCTACTCCACCGGCCTTCAGCATTTGACTGGTGCTGGCACTAGCCCAGCCCCCTCTGTAAGGCAATTCTGCTCACTTAAGCTGACAGAAAACAATACTTCTATGAAGGTAGGGTTTTTATTATCATAATCACAAAAGTACAAATGTGGAATAAGCTAGGAGTGGAGCAGGAGGTAGTAGAAAATATCCCTTTAAGGAACAGAAACTGTGGGATGTCTCTGTCTTGTCCAACTGCAGTTATTTAAATACTCTGCAGATTAACATTAGTCTTTCTTTCATGGAAAACTTAGCTTCTCTATACTAAAGTTTTTTTATAAACAGACTGTAAAATAAGCTTTGACATCCCCTCTTTTAATTTTATTTGTCTTATTTGGTTCTGTTGCCTTTCAGGTACCTTTTTCTTTTCACTGCCCCATCTACTCTCACCAAAATTTATCATTTGCTTATACGTATCTTTGTTGCACATTATTGCAAGCTGGTTTTGTTCAGTGCTGTCCATGCTGCAAAGCAGAAGTGGGAATAGATACCTTCTAAAACATGGCCAAGTTTTCAAATGTTAACTTTGCTAGGAGGGCAAAGAAACACCAGCAAAACTATTTGCATCTTCAGTCATCTCTAGGTAAATTTCAATGGTCTCTAGGACTTTTTTATCACTATTTTGATTAATGTCACAAACCTTATATTTTCAGTTTCCATTTGTCTTGCTCATGTAATCTTCTTTATTACAAGGCGAATGTACAATACATCAAGTTTTTCCTGGTCAGTTTTGGGGGTTTATTTGGAAAAAAACATCCCTTGTACATATACTTGTTTTTAAACATGGTTTGGCTTAGTGTTCTAGACAACTAAATCATTCAGCTTTGAGACCCTACCCTTTGATTATACAACTTGTCTTATCTATGTTGAATTAACTTCATGAGCATCTGGCTATTTATTAATGAGAGTGAATGAATCACAGTCTTCATTTTCCTGGAAAATAACATGGGATTTAGAATAATTGTTTCACAAGTCTTATAACACTGCAGGGATTCTTAAAGATAATACTCTTTGTCCATGTCTATTTTGAAGGCTATTAAAAGTGATTATGTATAAAAACAAACTAAGGAGGATTTGTAGCTGTAAAAATTAGCATCTTAAGAATAAGTATTTTTTCTTGTTTCAGGTCCCAAATTAGTATGTGGGGACAATGATTGAAGAATACGAAGTCCTTAGTTTTAATGTTTGTAACCCAGTTCAACAGCATTTAAATAAATTTCTTCTGGATGAGACAGTTTAAAGACATCTGTTGGGTTGGGTTGTTCTTTTATCTTGAGTAACTCTGGCCTTCTAATACAACTGCTCAGACTTTCTTCAAAACAGTTAAGTTGCTTTCTGTTACAGATTCCCCTGTATTATTGTCAGTCCTTTGTTGATATGCTTGTGTTACCTGTCTCTCTCTCTCTCTCTCTCTCGATTAAAAGCAGAAAAAAAGTATGGAAGCTTAGAAGCTTCTGATCATACTCAGCAGTAGTTACATTGACACTCTGTTCACAAGCAGCTGGTTACCAGAGGCTGAAGCCAATGTCATCATTTTGTTTGTGTTATCATGCTGAGTCCAAACTTTGCCATTTAAATACAACCAGATGTTCCTTACCAGAGCCACTTTGAATGCAGCATGTTAGACTACAACCCCATCAGTGCTGATCCCACTCTTCCATCTTTGCTTTTAGTGCACTTCTGTTACTTTTCTCTTAATTACAGAATTACCCTGAAATGTTTGTACAATACAAATAAAGTTGGACCTTTAATAAAAGTTCTCTGCTATTTTATTTAGAGAACTTATAATAACACAAAACTTTACAATGCAGGAACAGTTGGATGAACTGAAGTAAGGACAGCCTTTATTCCCTAAACTTTCAGACTTCTGGGGGATGCTGTAGTTTTATTTGATCCAAATTTAGGTTGCCTTTAAAAGTCAAGTTTTCTGAAACATAATCTCAAAGACCTTTCTGTATAGATTCTACATCTTGTGTGTTGATCAAATATGCCAGTGCATGTTGATCTCATACATTTTGCCTCTAAGGGGAACACACTCATGTACGTGTGGTAAGAGTGACAAATAAGTTCTAATTAGTAAGCCTTGTACAAGAAACAAAACCATGTTGTTTCACAAAGATCAGAGCACCTTTGAAGTTGTCACTCAAGTTCCTGCTACATTTTCCATGAGGAAGATTTTCAGACTGTCTTACTATTTAAAAGTACACCTTAAGAATTGAAATGTAAAACATCTTAATGCTAAAAGAGTCTTTAAGAGTTGGGATTTATTGCCAGTCCATTTGCCTTTGCAGTAAATAGGATAGCCTTGTTAATGGGTTTAGTCTTTTGTCTGCCAGTATAGTTGTTCCAATTTCAAATCCATTCTTTGCTATTATTAGAAAGCATCCAGCCCTAAAATTCAAATGATGTTTGACTTTGCTAACTTTTCAGAAATTATTTCTCAGGAGGTTATTTGTGAGTGTTTTGCACTCTGCTCCTTTGTTCCTCACTTGGCTCTTGATTTCTTGGTGTGTACAGTGTCCCATGGAGCAAATAGTAGTGGACTAATTAAGAACTACCAAGAGTTTCCCAAATTATGCAAGATCCCCAGAACTATGAAAAGCCTTTTCAGCTTCCCAGTCACATACTGTGAAGTGCCATAAATCAAACTTTTGAAAACACTGAAAGCTATGCTTCAGACACTTACAGGTATACTTTAGTTCCAGAAGAAAGTATTTACTTTTTTGGAGTTTACTGCCAGGTTTTTTAGTACTACTTTTTCTCAGTTGGAATCCCACAGGCTATGAACATTCTGAATACCTGATTTAATGACACATGGTCACTTATTGGTGACATTGTTGTCTTTACTTTTATATGAGTCTGGAAGACTAAATGAAGTAGAAGCAAACACTTGGGCTTTAGTGTTAGAGCTTAGGCAGGAGGATAAAGGAAACTAAACCTCATGTGTCATATTACACTCTGGAGGTCAGGGAGTTATTTTTACTTCAGTGTCACTAGTATGGGAAAATATAGAAGACCTCAGCTTATGTTGAAACTACAGAAGACAGCCAAGTTATTTGTTGAGATGGGTCATCAGTGTCATCTCATGCAATAAATGTTATGGCTGGAGTCCTGCAAGTGTCCTCACCCCTCACATCGGTCACTTGGCCACGTAGGTTGCTCAGTGTCATACTACATGAACAACGCTGTATTTGTCCTTGCTACAAAGAGCAAATTTTATTACTGAAGTGTTGTATCATTGGGGAAATTTTTATTTTGGATTATTCTATGCTAGAATGATATACATTGTAGATAACTGCGAGGTTGTCGTTAAAACAAAACCCAAAGATTTAGATTAGGTGGTTGTACTGAAATAATCAGGAGGCAGCGACATTGCATGGTGTTGGAGTTAAATCCAATGTACAGCATACAGTAAAATTACAGCTGTGAAATCCTGATGATTGCCTTTTATTTTGTTCCTTAAAAAGGCTTCCTTTGCCCAAGGAAAACATCTGTGATTAAAAAGCTGGCTGTAATAACAAACAAGAAAAATTCTGTCTACGTGCCCAAGCATACCTTGAAGTCTCAAATCCAGAGTGCACCTTTCCCTCTGCAGCTGTGTCTGTCTGTGCACAGTAACTGGTACAGTTAATTGTCACTGTTACAGTCAGGAGAGGCCTGGCCACAGGCCCCGTGCTCCTTCTCTTGCTACTAAAGATGGACATAAAGAACACCAAACAAGAAATTACAGCTTTCACTGATGGGGTCTAATTTGGGTGAAGAAGCTGACTGTTACTATAAGATTTAAACCAAGATAAATAGTCTCCAACCAGCTAAGAATGCAGCGGACTTGGCAGTGTTAGGTTTACTGTTAGACTGTGATCTTAAAGGTCTTTGCAATCTAAATGCTTCTCTGATTTTAAGAATTAATTTAATAGCTATATTGAAAGGCTAGTATATGGAATACAGGAAAACATTCTTACTAAACATATCAAAATGTAACAGCTGAGGAGTTAAAATCTTCTTATATATCTTACTGAAAATTAAATGTAATTTTAGTTTTGAAAGACATAATATAAAACAGCATCCAAATCTCTCCTCTCTTGTACATTTAATGAATTCTCTGCATAAGTATGAGTTTTCTGAAAACAAATAGGTCTGCAGGTGTGAGTACCAGCATATGATTGATTGCAGTGGAGTGAAAAGGTTTTAGCCAGAGTTGCCAGACTGCATTTGAACCAGCTCTGCAGGAGTCAGAGCAGAAGGGAGGAGAGCAGAGCAATGCCTTGTTTTGCAGAAAGCCTCCTTGAGTTGAAATATTTCTTTGGCTGTAAATGTTTTAGTGTCATACAGTGTTTAATAAAACCTGTCTGAGACAAGCAGTCTATCAGAAAAGCAATCAAATTTCTGTGTGAGGTCATACCCGTTCAGCACAAGTAACAACCTCTTCTTTCTTTCTGTTATTTTGTTTGCATTTTAACATTGTATGTTATAAGGGGTTCTTTTTTAATGTTCCTGTGGTTTCATGTGAAAAGAGGAAAGAAAATACGTGAATGTGAAGTAGCTCTCTCAGCAAACATGTAATGGACTGACAGAAATCTTGCTTGATAAAGACTGCATTTTAATAAAAATGGAATTTTTTCACTGTATTTGAGAGAAGATGACCAACCATGATCTGCTGAAAAGCAAAAACGTAGAAGAGCCTTCTTTTAAGAATTCATAGCAACACTGTAAAGGGTAGAAATAATCTCCAGGGCTCTTTAATTCAAGTTAACTCTATTGCATTGTCAACAGCTGACTCACTAACAGGCCCATGACTTCACAGGTAGGTGTTAGTGGAATAAATAGTGATTGAGTTACAGGGTAGTTATAAATATTCATGTTATTTAGCTCCAAGCAAAAACATGTTACTTTTTCCCTTCAAATCACTTCAAATGTTTATAGCTTGCATAAATAAACTGAACAGGCTGAGGGAAAATGTTTAGTAAATCACTATTGTTTGCATGAATTTTGTAAAGTAAAGAACTCTTGGTCAGGTAAAAAAAGTTCCATGAATATTGCTAATTTCTCAGGGTGTGGGGAAAGAGCCTGTTTTCTTGATGGCCTTTAAATCTTTTTTAAGCCCCTGCTTGAAAGCCAGTCCAGAATGACAAAACACAAGAACAGACCAGGTGCTCTGTTTCCTCACTGCATGTTCAGTGCCTCTGCTCCAGACTCTTGTATGCCCTTCATCTCCTCTTTGCTAGACCAAACACACACAATTTTATCAGCATGTCCCTAACATGAGCTTATCAGCTTTCCTCTCTTCTGGGTTTTTCTCAGTCCATGCTTAGAGCTGAGCACTGTTCTCCTGCTAAAACACTGCCTGCAGGGAATGGCAAAAAAGGGTTCCTTTGGCACCTTGGACACACGGGGAACACGGCAAGCACTCGCCTCACCAGGCTCTCCTTCCAGTTCCCTGTTCTTCTGTGACAGGAGGCTGTCACAGCACATGGAGGTGGCATAAAGACAACTTTCTTGGGAACATATTTTGCAGCTGTTACAAGGTCAAAAGTCTCATACAACTGGGTTTTTTATATTTTCCAGGTGTATTCCTTAGTCACTTTTATCATTTTTTCCCCAGCAGGTAACATTCTAATGAACTGAAAAAAACCTTTGAGCCCTTTTTGGCCAAAGGACAACAAATTAATGTTGGTAGTCATTCTGTTAACTAATATGGCGCTTTTTTCTTGGTAGCTAAAGAAAGAACTAACTGTACAAAATTTTCTGGAGTACAGCCAGGTTACTTCTCAAAGAGTGAAATTCAGACGTGCTTTCTACTTGTATTGTTTTTGCTTTGTGGAAAGTTCAAGTACAGCAGTTGGAAATAGATATTGAGATACTTTGGCATGTTACCACATTTTAAGAGGTAAGTTCTTACTCTAAATTATTGCCATTTAATTCATCCTGGTTGAAGAAGTCCAGAAGCTCTTTAACTGATGCACGTCTTCTTTGAAAGAAGAAATATCATTCTTGAAGCCTAGAGAAAATGGCAGTTTGAGGCTATAGATTTCTGTAATGTTATTTGGCATGTGTTCTTAGCAAAGAGAAATAAAGGCAGGAAATAAAATACTGGTCACAAATTGTATCAGCACAAGAGCTGGAAATGGTAAGTCTAAGCTTCTGATGTACCATTTTTGCTGGGGTTAAGCAAAATGTTTACAATTTTGCTTAATATGTTCTTGCAGCTGAATTTAATGTAACCCAAATAAATCATTAAATATGTTATTTTCAGACCTTGTCAGGTAGTTTAATTGATGGTGGACTTACCTTCAAAATCCAGGAGTTTTGTTTAACTCAGCTGACATACCATCTATCAAGTCAACTGTGTGCTCAGTTAAGGAAATGTAGTTCCAGGCAGGCAATGAAGGAATTGCTTCTCTAGAAAAGGAACAAAATCAAACTGTGCTAGGGTCTTTTGAGTACCACTAAAGTATTTTTCAAAGTGGGGGAGGGCAGGGCAGGGCTATGTGCAGGAAAAGAATGAAAGGGAATATAGTGCAAGGCAAGATTTCCTGAGACATAAAAGACCCCAGCAATCCTGGAGACAGTATGTACTGCTGGAGGAAAGCATTGTTAATAGCTGTATAGCTCAGAAATCAATACATAGCAAAAAGAAATCTAAATTTTCTGTGCCTGCCTTGATGATGAGTTTGGGTCCTTCCCTAACATACCAGGCCCACAAGTATTTATTTATGCGCATAACCTTCCTTACAAATCTTCACATGTGATG